TAATTAATAACAATAAAACAGCTCATACGGACATCAACAAGGTCTTCCATTAGATGTAGCATAAGCTATTGGGGAAGGAGTGCAAAAATATACAAACCAAAGTCCATATTATAGCTCTATTCGACTCAGCGACATAGTAAGTTGGTCATAATAAATTAGTATTGAACTCGTCACCAACAAAATATAAATATCATTAGAATAGTAGTTGTGTTCTCCCAATGGGAGAATGCACATATTCCGTCTTTTACAAATAACGTATCTTTATTGTACAAACTCCATAATTAGTTGTTTAGTTTTTTAATCTTGATTCAAAGATCATCCATACTAAAAAATCATTTGAATCGAAAAGCGTGTGTTTCATCCAAATGTATAAAATAAATGGATGATTCATTATGAATGTGGTACTTGATACTTTGTCAATTTGTTTAATATATTTATTATGACTAAATGATCTCTTATTCGAATGATTTTTTGTAAAGATGATCTCAAATGAAGATTAATAAATTGAACTATTCTAATTATGAAATTGATATGATGAATATTTTTTTCGAAAGAAGTGGAATATGTGCATTCTCTCGTTGGGGAACTCAAGTATTATTCATATCATTACATTGTAATCATTTGTATCCATCATTTATAAGTAAATATCATCATACTCTAATACTCACGTGTTTCTTTTTTCTTAAGATGATTTTATGGATGAGCTTGGAATGGCTCTTTGTATCTAAGGTTTAGGGTACATGGCAATATTTTGTATTACAAATATTATAATTGTAATTGTAAATTATCTATTATCTTTGTCATCATATTTAGAAGCATTCATTCAATACTAAAACCGTTTAGTCACATATAAATCAAACAAATTGACAACTCATGTTGCCTATTAGTATTACCATAATCATCGGTTTGTTTGATACATGCGAACAGTTATACGGTCTTCAAATTAAATTAAATTTTCTAGAGACGGTCATTATATAAAGATAAAGAGAATCAACGATTCTGATTATAACGTTTGTACAATGAAATTATGACACCTCGTCAATAAAAGAGAAATATCATTCTATAAACACAATAATACGATTAGTTCTCTAGATCTCATTCATGATTTGAGAGTATTTGGTCAATGATTTTAAGGTCGGACCCACATATTTTTTATTTAATAGGTGTTACTAAATTTTAAAATTCTTGAATTCGAATATTTATTTTCGGTACTCATTCATGATAAGTAAACACGATGACATTTTTGCGGTGTCTAAATTGGGTTTGGGAAACGTGAACAGTTAAGTTGGGCAGTTGGCCCAAAAGATTGGTTTGGGTTTATATTATTATTAACACACGCTTGGACCGACAGGCTTCGGCGTGCCGGTTCATAAACAATATTAACCAACAAACCGCCGGTCACATTACTTCGCCTAACAAACAAATCCAATCATCGCATTCCCACTAACTATTCGTCCGTCAGAAAACAATTCCTCACAGCCCGTTATATAAACCTGCCTCCCTCCATTTCTCGTTAAAGTTAACTAACTTTCCTACCAAAAAAAACCTACCAGTTTTTAGTTGTCCCTCCACATTACTCTTTTACGGTTTACCTGTCCAAGTTCTTCCCTTTCAACGCGGTTTTGAATATTGTCAGTCTGAAATTTTTTATTTTTTTCTTTCAATTCTTATAAATTTAATTTTTATAACTGTAATTCATATAGTTTCATTTGTTGACTATTGCATTTTTTTTTTCAGTCATATATTTTTCAAGTATTTATGGGTCAAAGTCGCTGATCAAAACTTTCGATTTGGTTGCAGGGTTTTTAAAGTCGGTTGCTTTCTCTTGTTCTGGGAACCGATCGAAGCGAAAATGTTCAAGCGAGCGTTTGGGAAGGCTAAGCAGGAGGCCAGTCCCCTGCCCACGATTCACAAATTAAACGATGTATGAATTTTGGGGTTTTTTTTTTATTATTAAATTTGTTATGTTTTGCAGAAATTATGACGAGGAATTGGGTTTTGTGATTGTAATTGTTTGGGGTGTTTTCTTCTTCTGATAAGTGTTGGCTTTTTGGGATTTTGCAGACACTTGACATGCTGGAGAAGAAGGAGAAAGTGCTTGTGAAGAAGGCAGCTCAAGAGACGGAGAAAGCTAAACAATTTACTCAAGCGAAAAACCGAAATGGTAAGAAACCCGAACAGGTTAGATTCGATTTTTTCGGTATTCTTTGTTTTGTGTTAGCCCATTTGAATGTTTTGTATTGAATTCGAACAGAAATTTTGCTTTATGTCGATTTTGATTGGCTTCTAAGAATGTGGGTAGGCTGTTCAGTGTCCAATTTTGTTTTCGCGTTTTCCATTTACGGTGGACGGACAAATTGTAGTCACTAGTTACCTGCTTAGGTCTGAATTTTTTCGCGCAAATCATGGTAGGGGATCATGATCGTGTGTAGATTCCGTTGAGTAAATCTGTAGGTTGTAAAAGAAAATGAGTGGACCTGTGTGACTCAGACTTATAGCGAGATTGTGAAACCTATGTTCTTGTGTGGTAATTATTGTTACATCGTATACCTTGTTGCTATTTTTAATACAGCGGCGATAAAGTGTTTAAAAAGGAAGAGGCTTTACGAACAACAAATTGAACAGCTTGGAAATTTCCAATTGCGCATTCATGATCAGGTACTTGTTGCATTGTTTGAACTACAATGAAGTTACATGTGTTGAGAGTTTATGTTGAAGACCTGTTTTGCGTTGGGGTTTTAGATGATAATGCTGGAAGGCGCAAACGCTACGACAGAAACTGTTGATGCATTGAGAAGTGGAACCTCTGTAATGAAGGCCATGAACAAGGCCACGTAAGTTGCATCTGAACTGAATTATATAGAAGTTATAGATTCCATGGTCCATCATTTCCATGACTATAGCATAATCGTAAATACGTCTTAAATTACTCGTTTCACTTTCCGCTTACATTGCTTTGTTTTGAAGAATGAATGTCTTTGGAGGTTCTGCCAAATGAAGCATTCCGTAACCTTTTGTTCTGCATAGTGTAACTCAACTTCGGCCCGTTTTTCCTATACAGGAAAATTGATGATTTGGAGAAAACAATGGATGAGATCAATGACCAAACTGAAAGCATGAAACAAATTCAGGAGGCATTGTCAGCACCTATCGGTGCAGCAGCTGATTTTGATGAGGTATTGTCTTTGCAAGTTATTAGTTCATAGATTCAATGCTTTTTCCAAACGTATAGTTCAAATATTACAATTTTATTTTCGCAGGATGAATTGGAAGCAGAGCTTGAAGAACTAGAAGGAGCTGAATTGGAGGAGGAGCTTCTTCAGCCAGCCACAAGTGCTCCTGCAGCTCCCGCACCTCCAGTATCTGTAAATCCTGAAGCAGGCAGGCAGCCAACACGACCAGCTCCTCAAAGAAATAACCGTGAGGAAGATGAGCTTGCTGCATTACAGGCAGAGATGGCACTTTAAGCGGTTATATGTGTATAAGGTAGATAATTTCTCTTGATAATACAACCATATAGTTTATCACTCAAGTGGGTAACGCACATAATGCAATTTAAATTATCACAAAACTTGAAAAAGATTTCTTAATCGTATCAACCATCAACCACTGCTCAATTAGGGTCATTGCACACCACATAGATTATCATTCAAAGCACAAACTGGTCATTTTAGAAGAAAAAAAATGGCATGCTGAAAACGGTCCACATGTATGTCGAATTACGGTAGTTGCACACCACAGAGATTATATCATTCAAAGAACAAGCAGGTCATTTTAAAAAAGGTCGTTGTGCTGAAAACGCTTAACATGCATCTTATGACAATTGAGAAAGACACCGATTGTTTATTTGCTTGATCTTTTCCTGTGCTGGAATTTGAATAAGAGTTATGTTTCTGCAAGCATTTGATGCATCTGCCTTTCGTTATGTTAATTTCATTCAATCTGACGGGTTTCGTTTCTCTGAGTGCAGTAGTAACATGTAGCAGCGGACGCTTAATAAACTCTGGACGACGATGCGAATCGCTGGGACTCTCTCCATACTGACTAGTAAACTTTTTATACTGCATTTGATGTTGAGGACACACTGTAGATAGATAAGTTTAGATAACAAAGTGTGTACTTTGTAATTTACTCGAATATTGTAGGCTTCTTTGCAAAACTAGTAGTGGGAACCTCTGTGTCCTCTTTCCCCCAGTTCAAAGACTAAAAAACCAGATGGGAATACAACGTTATAATTTAGTGATACAATTATTTAGGGTAAATTACATAGTAGCCCCTCAAGTTTGAGGTCTATTACAACCTCATACAACATATTTAAAACATTTCATTTTCATACCTCATGTACTATTTTTTTTCAAAATAATACCTCCGTTATATTTTTCATCCATTGATCTGTTAAGCGTTGATGTGGCTCCCACATTTGTGCCACGTGACAAAAAAAAATTATTTTTTAAAACCTGAATCTTCTAAATAAATATAAAAATAAAAAATAAAAAAATAAAAAACCAAAAACAAAAGTTGAAACACACCTCCTTGCAATCCCCAATTCGTCTTCCCTCCCTCCCTCCCCCACCCAACCAGCAACCTAGAAGAAGAAGAAAAGAAAATAAAAAAACCATCTTCATCTTCCCCGGCTCCCCTTTCTTTCCCCTCCAGTCTTCCCCAAACCCACCGCACCCAACCTCCACGTCCTCCTCCGCACCCACCCTCTTCCCTCCTCTACACACCCCACTCTTTAAATCCACACTCATTGGGGAATACATGATATGGGTTGCAAGGAAAGGGAGATGGTTTTTTTTTTTCTTTTTTCTTTTCTAGGTTGTAGGTAGTGGGTGCGGAGGAGGAGGTGGAGGATGGGTGCACGGTGGGTTTGGGGAAGACGGGAGGGAGAAGAAATGTGTGGGTTGCAGGAAGGGGGGTCGGGGAAAATGAAGATGGGTTTTTTTTTTCTTTTTTCTGGGTTGCAGGTTGGGCTCGAGTGGGGGGGGGGGGGTGGGAAGATGGGTGTGCGAAGGAGGATGTGGAGGATGGGTGAGAGTGGTTTTGGATTTGGGTTGCAGGGAGGGACAATGGATGGGGAAAATGATGAAGGGGATGAGGTTTCGGCGGACAGCCGGGGCGGTGGAGGGTGGGGTGATGGGATCTGGGTTTTCTAATTCTTTTTTTCTGGGTTGTAGGTTGGGCTCGGGTGGGGGGGGGAGATGAGGAGGAGGTGGAGGATGGGTGCACGGTGGGTTTGGGGAAGACGGGAGGGAGAAGAAATGTGTGGGTTGTAGGAAGAGGGGTCGGGGAAAATGAAGATGGGTTCTTTTTTTCTTTTTTCTGAGTTGCAGGTTGGGCTCAAGTGGGGGGATGGGAAGATGGGTGTGCGAATGAGGATGTGGAGGATGGGTGGGAGTGGTTTTGGATTTGGGTTGCAGGGAGGGACAATGGATGGAGAAGATGATGAAGGGGATGGGGTTTCGGCGGGCGGTCGTGGGGTGGAGGGTGGGGTGATGGGATCTAGGTTTTCTAATTCTTTTTTTCTGGGTTGCAAGTTGGGCTCGGGAGATGGGAAGATTGGTGCGCGGAGGAGGTGGAGGATGGGTGCAGAGGAGGATGTGGAGGATGGGTGGGAATGGTTTTGGATTTGGATTGTAGGGAGGGATGACGGATGGGGAAGATGATGAAGGGGATGGGGTTTCAGCGGGCGGGTGGCCGGGGGGTGGGGGGGCCACGTCAGCGCTTAACGGATCAATGGATGAAAAATGTAACGGAGGTATTATTTTGAAATAAAATAGTACGTGAGGTATGAAAATGAAATGTTTTAAAGATGTTGTATGAGGTTGTAATAAACCTCAAACCTAATGGGCTACTATGTAATTTACCCAATTATTTATGTCATTTTTTGTCAATGTAAATTTTTAAATCCATGCATATTTAAAGGTGTAAAACGTCGTCGTATGGAAGTGGGCAAAAGCCGCAAACATGCATGCAAAAATTGCAAAGGGACATGAAAGATCAGATTCATACACTACACCACAAACCCTCGTTAATATCATGTATCGAAGGATTCAATGACAGAGAGAAAAAAGAAATTGTATAGTATTGAAACACAATCCCGTGTAGTATAGATAAATGACAGGCTTATATGATGTTATTAGCACTCTAACTATATAAAAACACAAGGGCAAAATTTGTATAGACTGCATAGACGAGTGCATAATGACATTTTTGAATGTCAATAACAACTTCCTCTACTTATTTTCTGTTTGAACAAAGAAAATAAACTTATAATTTTGATAAAAGTCAGAATTTATATAGTTAAGCATCAATTCTTTGTTTGGATTCATACATCCATGAGTGGCCATCATTGCCACTCAACCACCGTTGCTGCCGCCACCACCATCACCCGGCATCATCATCACCACCGCCACCTCCACCACCATAACAAATCATATTATGTTGCAATGTTTAAATATCAGAAGATTCCCCTACTTAATAGAACAAAACATAAATGATGGGGGACCATCTACCATCAATCCATCAATCCATCATCATATGACTATATACAGGAAAAACAAGAACTTATACATATTGTTTTGATGTGGACTTTCAAATATTTTACTAATTCAGATTTTAACTTTTAGACAGACAACAAAGTTGGCAATGGCATTTATAAGATTATCTTTTTTTCCTTTGACTTGAGATCACTCTGTCTGTCATAAACAAGAATTTGAAAGGGATATATGTCCAATCTTAACTCACTGATTCCTGCTTGATGTTGGTGTTTTTGTTCTTAATCATATCTGATTAATTGCAAGATTCTTCACTTGATTTATATCTTAAACAAGAAATGGAGAACAAGGTTGCCTTTGCTTACTTCCATAAGCATTTGCTCAAGTGTGAAAACGATAAGAAAAACTCTCACGTCACGTGGATATGTTACCTCTCTCTTTTTCTTATTCATCAAAGTCATCATTCGAAGGATGAACGATGAGCGAGAAATATCAAAATGGGACATATCTCTTAGATAGGTAATTACTATTTGGGATACATGGGATGTATGCATATTTTTGGTTGTGTTCTAAAATTTATTTGGGGAAGGGATATTCATCCACAGATAATGCCAACAAGAAGCAGATAACTTACATTCATTAAGTTGCAATTTTTAGAGTTCAATGTGAAAACATGAGAGAGACAGATAGAAAACAAAATTTGAAGCCCAAGTTTTCTAAACCTCTCTTTTATTGGAATATAAACACTAATTAAGAAACTTAAACACCAGATTAAAGCCTGTCAAACAAACCCTAATTACGGCATCTCACATGGATGTAGAATATGCAATGTTTTGGTAGTTTATAGCATGTGAATTAATTAATTAATCTCATATTTTAAGGTGATGACTAACAAACTACAATGGTTTATTAAATTATGCTTTTCGAAAACAATGATGATTAACTAAGTTTAATGAAGTTAATAACTGAAGTGGTTGAGGCTTAAATAATGGATTAGCCTTAACACATGAAAAAGTCTTCATACGCAATTGTTTTATTTAATTATGTCCTCTCGATAATCACTACGGAGTGGCCCAGTTGTAGGGTGAATTCTAAACCCGTATTTCATACGGGTGAGTTTAAGTTTGATTCCTGGCGCATGTGAACTACATGATAATGGTCAGAGAACTCTGTAATGTTTCTGTGAGTCTTCTCAACTCTCTAAAAAGTAAATTATCATAGCTTCGTCACCTATTAATTTTTTTTAATATTATGTACTCTGGATTCTTGAATAGTCAGACTTCATAGTACTTGGCCGTACAATTAACAATTTGATCCAATTTAAGTTAATATTTTGATTTGAACTACAGCTTTCAAACAGTGACATCGGACCTTCGGCAGCGCACCGCAATCTGCATGACTAATTAAAAGCTTATAATATGATGTTAATGTATGTGAATCTGACAAATATGATGCTGCAAACTTTCAATGTGTTCATATCGCTGACCGAGCCAGAGATTATAACATACAACCGTGTTTTATCTTCAGCTTTTCTTGATATTTTTTGCCATCAGGTCAAGATAGGAAGAGAGAGATGTCTTCGAAGATGGTAAAAAATATCTCGTTTTCATGATATCCTCAACTTTCAAAAGGTTACAAGACTGACGAAGTTCGGACTAGATTGGTTGTTTCTTAAGCTTAGTTTTCGCTTTGTCTCCTTATAACTGAAAGTGAAATATTCGAGAATCAGAAGAATTATTATTTTTTCTTGAAATATTTCTTTTTTTTTTGTTAAATAATTCATTGACCATATATAACCTTTGATTTTTACCACTTCATATCCCAAACTTGCAAACGTGATGTATGTTATGACTGTAAAAATCAATACAGCTAGGGCAGAATATCTTTATGGTTGTTGTGTCGAGAGAGGGACATGAACTTTGAATTGGCCAGACTCCCGCACAACTCATGAGATGACCTCTGACCTACAAAGGAAACGGGCAAACATGATGAGGCCGTCATGTTCAGAAATTTCTCACAACCCAACAATGGCAAATTTGAGAAAGTTGAAACCTTCACACACATAGCACAATCACGCAGAATTCCAATTCACGTGATGGGAGAGATATAGAGGTGTACAACCACTTGATGTGACAAATAGAGAGAATGGAAGATCAATGCATGCTCATAAACTAGTCATCGACTTTATTTTGGTTTACATAATATGTTCTCATCCATGAACAGAACAAACACAGGATTTCAATCACATTACACAAGAAATACAAAGACGATCACATGAAGTGACAAATAGGGAGAATGGTGAAGATCAATGCATATTGTTCATAAACTAGCCATTTACTTAAATCTGATTTACATAATATGTTCCCATCTATCAACAGCACCAGAGTTCCAAACAACACTGAAAACTAGAGCAAGTGAAAAAAAATTAAAATCAAAGATAGAAATTAAAGCATTTCTAGCTAACTAATTTGTGATTTTTCTTCCCCCCATTTCCTTTACCAATTCAAACCCTTTTGATTCAGTAGTTGTAAATTTCAGCTTGAAACAATTCACCCAAATCCGTGCAGCCTGATGGGACAGCTTCACTGGTTGTTTTCTCAAAACACATGCCATAGTAATTGACATTATTATCATAAGCCAAACCATATCCATAATCCATACAAAACCAAGAATCCTGATCAAGATAACCGTTCCCAGCAATCGAAGACGAATCCGAAACGCTTGATCCTTCCTGAGACAATGAAACAGTGGTGCTGAAACTCCTCCTTGAACTTGCACCGAAATTTGAAAAACCCAAGAACTTGGGGCTGTATAACTGATCAGGGTTTAAGCTCAGGGTCTGGTTGTAGGCATTGAGTCCAGAGTTCACATCGGATAGCGTCTGCAATGTGGCTGGTTGGAAAGTTGAGAAGGCAGGGTCTTGGGGTTCCTCAGTTTTTCGGATTCCAGAAAAAATGGCATTGTTTGTAATCGTGGGCTCTCTCTCTTTGCTACTGATATTCTTTACCTTTCCTCCCAAAACCATAAGTTTCTTCTTTAATTTGGTATTCCAATAGTTCTTCACATCGTTGTCTGTTCTTCCAGGCATGTGAGAAGCAATGACTGACCATCTAAAAAATTGGGGGAAATTTAAAAAATGCAAATAAATTAGAAAACTGATCAAATTAAATGTTGCGGATTATAAATTAAGAAATTGAAAAAAAAAAAAAAAAACCATTTAAATTTGTTTACTTGCCGGCTTCCCATCTGGTTGTAGAGGCTGCAGATAATGCTGTCTTCCTCTTCAGTGAAGCTTCCATGTTTGATGTCTGGCCTCAGATAGTTCAGCCACCGCAGACGGCAGCTCTTCCCGCACCGCCTCAGACCTACAAAGTGTAGAAAAATTAATAAAGTTGAGAACTGTTGCAGAGATTGGCAAAGAAAATAAAACCCTTTTCTCATTTCTCCTAGAACTTTCATTCTTTTGAGCCCAAAAGATGGAATTTAGAGAGACAGAGAGAGACCAGCTTTTTTGGGGAGAAGAATCCAGTTGCCGCCGGTGCCATGAGACTCGAGGTAGGACTTGAGAGCTGCGTCTTCTTCCGGAGACCACGGGCCTCTCTTCACGTTGTCTTTGTCACAGCATGGAGTGCGTCCCATGGTTGCTTACTCTGTGCCCTCACTCACTCCCTAAGGACCAACCAGAAAGGTCAGAGACGACAAGGAAAAAATTCAGACGCGCAAAATGCAAAGGGTTTTGGGGGAGGAAGGACTTTATAAAATGGTGGCACCTTGAAATAAATAAATAATAAATAAAACGCTTGACCATTGTACGGATGCCCTTGTTGTTCAATTTCACTTGTAATATTTTGTGTGTGATACTTGTTTCTTGCTTAACAAGATAGATGCCCTGTCAAATGCATGTGTATTTGACTTTGTATTATTTGGTTCTTTTAATCATGGAGATGAATTAATATTAAAACAGTTGACGTTCATATTACGATTTAGTATTATTTTTCTCTATTTATAGAAGTGAGAGACTTATATTTGATTTTTTTGATAATAGAGTTCGTTTTCATTCCCCATAAATTAGAACATTGTTTTATCGTTCAAAGTATAATATGCTTATTAGTTATTAGTCTTACACCTAATAACACAGTGGTTGCAAATGTCCTTTAATTTGGTTGGTC